TAATGCCACAGAGCTTCCCCGCCCTCGGGCAGCCAGCCTGTGGTCCTGCTCTGCTCTCGGCGCTGTCCTGGTCCCCGCTAGGCCCCTTCCAAGCCCAGTCAAGGGTTTTGAAGGGACTTATGTTCAGGGAGATCAACTCAACATCCTGGAGTCAGCTCTGCTCAGCCCAGCATAGCTCCGGATCTCAAGAAGGCAGAGCTCCCACCTTTAACAGGGAGGAGGTAGGCGGTGGGAAAGAACTGCTAAACACTGGGCAGTGGGGAGCATAGGGAAACAGCAAAGACTGGGGTTTCCACTTGCAGTTACAGGTCACACGTCTGAAAAGGCCCCCCTTGAAGAGATCCCGCTTCCACCTTTTGCCAGCGTGGCAGGGGTTACTGGTGGGAAGTTAGACCATGTTTTTATACAACACAGAGGGCTGCGTGAGGAGTGAAGATGAGTGCGTCCCCAGGGGTCCTACCTGGCACTGGGGTAGATGCCCCAAGGACAGACCCATCTGCAGCAGCAGGCCCAGCAGGGTTCTCAGATGGTGGGCACCCCGGGGGCCCCTGGTCCTGGGGCTGGAGCTACTGGGGGTTTCTCTCTGGGATCAACCTCCCTTGCATCTATCACTAAACCCACCATAACAGTGCTTTGAGGGGGGACATTTTATTTCCCCAGAATTCATGATTAGGGCCCCAAACCAAGAGAAAAGGTGCTAAGTATCCCATATCCCAAAGAGCAACAGTCGGAGCCTGATGCCCTCCCCAAGGAGAGCACGATGCTTGAAGCAGCTCTGCAACTAGTCACCCTTCCCCGTTCCAATCCATAGAAGGGTGAAGGAAGAGAGAGGAGGGGCAGAGTCGGAATCCCTGCATTGCTTTCTCTCCTCCTCCTTGCAGCTGGAGAAGCAGGGAGACTCCCGGGAAATTGCTCCTGGAGAGTTAGGCCAACTGCCGGCCAGACACCTCGTTTTGCCATCGGATGGCTGCGATGGAACAGCCTTGCTGATCAGCCTCCTCCACCTACTGCAGCAAGACAGGGGAGAGGCGGGGCGAGAGGCAGAGCCAAGACAGGAGGCACTGAGGATCAACGTGCTCCGGCGCGATGAGACGTGAGTTTCCCACGGGACACCCCAGAAGGGAGCCAGGCCCAAGCCACGTCACAGACACAAACCCGCAGGTAGGCTCCTGAGAACGAAGTGGACATGGGGTACCCTGGGTGGGGAGGTGCCGAAGAGGTCAAGCCAGGGCTGCCTTTCCCACAGAAAGGCCCTGTGCAGCGGGGAGGCCCCCACACTAGGACCTGACATGTGCCCCCTCCGACAGCCAGCATTGGGGCACCCACCACACGGCGGGGGAGGCAACCCGCGCTAGCCTGAGAGGCCTCCAGCACGAACAGAGGAAGACAGCTTTGTCTGCTAAGGAGCCCTCCTGGGTCTCCTCTCCGCCCTCCACTACCCCATCACTCGGAGAAAGCAGAGGGTCGTCGTCTCAGAGCCCGACCCACCCCTGCAGTCAGGGTGCCCATCAAGATGGTGCCAGGCAGCAGGGTGGGGGGCAGGGAGCGGGATCTAAATCAAGCTGGAAATTGAGGTTTTGTAATGGGCGGAACTGAGCTTATCAAAAAGAGAAGTAGCCAGGAAGTTGTCATAAGGGATCCACGGCACAGGGGAAGGAAGGCACAGTAGAACACCGCAGAAAATAGTGAGCACAGAGGACACGTTTCATGTTTGTCCCCAGGGACCCGAGATTCCTCACCGGGGGCTCTCTATCCCCTCTGAGCTCTCAAGCACTGGGGAGCCTCAGTCACCAGGGGTGTAGCTTCCAGGTTGGTGGGGGGGCGTTGAGAGCTCACAGGACGGAAGGTGCATTCACACTGTACCATAAGTGTAGTGTATCGGAAGCAATGGACATACAATGCACCCCATAAACTGTGAAAAACAAGGCCTTTTGTTCTTGGACAATGAAGAAATTGCAAATTTTTAATCTACGTAGAAAAAGAAACACAAAGATAATCTATGTTGTGATAGTCACCAGAGTTGTTCACTAAATATTTCTTTTATTTTTTTTTTAGAAAATTTTTTTTTTCAAAGATTTTATTTATCTATTTGAGAGAGAGAGAATGAGAGAGAGCACATGAGAGGGGGGAGGGTCAGAGGGAGAAGCAGACTCCCTGCCGAGCAGGGAGCCCGATGCGGGACTCGATCCCGGGACTCCAGGATCATGACCTGAGCCGAAGGCAGTCGCCCAACCAACTGAGCCACCCAGGCGCCCTCACTAAATATTTCTAATTCTACTCTGGGCACTTACCAGCTGCCTTTGAGTTAGGTGGGAACCTTGTGATTTGCTTTAGTCAATGAAATGTGGGCCAAGTGACATGGAAGCTTTAGGAACCAGGGTTCAATGTACCATGTGTCCTTCACCTCCCCTTTTTTGGCACCACAATCATGGAGGACGGAGCCTCCCTCAACCTGGGTCCCTGAGTGAGGACCAGAAGGAGGAGCGCCCCCTGCTGACGTCTCATGGATAAGTTGCGGCAATGGGAAGAAGACCTTTGTAATTTAAGCCACTGGGGTGCGGGGATGTATGTTACTCCAGCTGATCCTGGTCTCTCCTGATTCTTACGAGTAGGTTAGCAATGTGCCCATCATCCAGGGACGAGACGACATCCAAGTATGCAGCCCCTCCACCGTCAACTGTGTGAATGATCGGGGTTGTCCCGGTCGGGTATGCCACACCCAGGATCGTGGACCTTTAGCTACAGTCAAAGCTGTGGCTAGGAAGACCCCGGGGCAAAGGGACCCTCATAGAGTGCCCCTTGTTTAAGGGAAAGGGGGCGGTGCAGACAGGGGAAGGACTGAGGCTGCATTGGTGAGGTGTTGGCTGGGGGTGACATGGAAGACTAGAAGGAATTGGCCAGAGTGCTCACCCAGATTTGCTAAGAAATAACAAG